AACACAATAGATTTACCCATAGTACTTTTCATTTTCTTATTTGGTTTATGAAACAAATCAGAATGCTAAGAAACAAGTTTAGTGACTTGCCAAGGATTGGGATGACCAATAAGAGACAGAGGTGGAGTAGAGATATTTTGGTCATTACTTTATAGCTTTGGCCATTTTTTCCTAAAGTGGTAGGGATTTGATTGAAGTATTCATGAAACAAAACCTAACAGCCCAGACATGCATGGTGCCTCCTCAACAGCAGGGATACAAAGCACCAAACATCAAGTTTTCGAAACTGGTATTCAACTGTAATTTAAATCATAAATTAAGTCTAAGATACCATAGTCAATCAGATCAAGACCAAATATATTCTTCATAGACTAGCTGATGTTGGTGTAAAGACAAAGAAAAGTAAGACAGACTAGTTCCTCAGTGAATGGGGTCTGCTACTCTCGTCTGCACTACTTAGAGAAAACAGTTATAGAATTAAGAAAGCATTGTATCAGATTAATAAAACATCTTACAAATTAATCCCAGGTGTCTGATTTTGATGAAGAACCAGAAAAGATCACTACTAGTCAAAAAGTTTGCATCACTTGACATTTAATGTGAAGTCACTTATTTTGGCAATGGTTAGATGCTTCTAGATAGGAAAAAAATATCTTCCCAAGGGTGTGGAGAGAGCGAGTGTTGTGCTTCACATAGAGCAAGGGTTCTCAATCATCCCAATGCTGTGACCTTTTAATACAGCTCCTCATGTTGTGGTGACCCTCAACCATAAAATTATTTTTGTTGCTACTTAATAACTATAATTTTGTTACTTCTATGAATTGCCATGTAAAAAGTTTTAAAGATAGAGGTTTGCCCAAGGGGTCATGACCCACAGCCTGTCATAGAGCAAGCCAAAGAAAACCAACACGACTTAGAGCTGGTCTTTTAAAAATTAATGCCCTTTATCGGTCCTCCTGAGGCACTTGTTAAACAATGATTCATGTTTTGTCCTTGCTGCCATGCAGAAGCACTGCTGTATTAGCCGATCCTAAAAGACCAAAACAAAATGAAAACAAAAATAAGCAGCCTTAAATCCTTAGCTTAGTATTGTCAGAGAAAACTGATCGTCCAAAGTACTAAGGTGTACATAAAATAACCAAAGTAATTAGCATCTATGACTTAGGAGACAAACTGATAGTTGGTTCACTCAACTAGAGTTGGAAATATTAGGGGATGGGGAGAGAAATTCATTATAAAGTGCTTGTCTGCAAACATGAAGGAGTTTAGTCCCAAAACTACTGTTTTGAAAAGCCAGGTGTGGTGGTATAGGAAAGTGAAGACAGACAGATTCCCTAGGACTTATTGGTTAGCTTCTTTTAGATGAGGTCTAGGCCAGTGAGGGCTTTTGGATCAAACGTTTATACATACATACATACATACATACATACATACATACATACATACATACATAAATGATGCTAGTGGTATCTGAGAAAACATACCTTGGGCCTCTACATACACCCGCACATATATACATGTGTGTGTTTAATGTTCATGGATGTTTATACACGTACACATGTCTATGCACACATACACAGCTGGACATAGTAGAGTAACATTTGAAGCTAATTGACTTAGATCTAAGTCAATTATCTTACTCCCTTAGCTCTGGCTAATGCAAACTACCGTGGTGTTTTAACATTAGACATGTATTTTAGCGAAGAATGTGCATCTGTTACTACCTAAAAGGTGTTACTACCTAAAAGGTGTCACTACCTAAAAAGGTTAGCTCTGACAAAGCTATGCAAAATCCCTAGAAGAAAAGGTACCCAGGGAAAGAAAGACCACACTTTCAAAATTCATAACAACTTAAATGTGAATGGAACTTGGTTCATGGCAACATCACGATTTGATTGTTATGGCAATGTAATTCAGAACAAACTGATCCTCTAAATAAAATTGCTCAGCCTTGAATATAATGGTGAAGTATTAATCTTTAATTACATGGTGATAATAAGCATATGTTTTCCAAAGTGAATAGCTGACTCATTTTTGGAGGGTTCTTCCTTGAAGGAAAATAGTCCCTTCCTAGTTGATGACCAATGTGCTCTTTTTAAGTTGTATTTTGTTTTAATATTTTTTTTTGTGAAATTTTGAACTTTTTATGTATTTAGTTTGTATGATTGTTTTGCTTGCATGTTTGTCTGTGTATCACATGCATGCTTGGCGCCTGCAGAAGCCAGAAGAGGGCATCAGAACCCCTGGAACTGGAGTTAAAGATGGTTGTGAGACTCCATGTGGGTGCTGGGAATTTAACCTGGGTCCTCTATAAGAGCAGCCAGTGCTCCTAACCACTCAGCCATCTTCGCAGACCTGTGCCCATGTTTTCAAATCAGTAGAACTTTAAAATAAAACTTGAGTTTGGACCATCTTATTGGTATCTCCTTCCTTTCAGGTATGATGTTATAAAAAGTCATTACTCATGAAATAAAATCTTCCCATGGGAAAAAAATCAGCAACCCAAGGAAAAGTGAGAGGCTAGCTGTTGCTGCTCCTGCGCTGGAAGCAGCTGGGAACTCTGTGGAACCCATGGTACATTTTTGTTTTCCTTGGCTGTGTGGGTAAGTCTCCTTTCTTCTAGAATACTTTATTCAGGCCTCCTGTAATCAACAAATGAGGTCATTGTTCAGGAGGCTCCAAAGACAATGCCTAAATTAAACTGGTTTTATTTAATGTGTGAAGTGACTTTGACATCTTTTTATATCTAGAAGGTCTTTTAAAAATATTACATCAGTATATTAGAGAAAGGCCCACTTTCCAGGAGGAGCCAGGGGAAGAACAGCTATTATTTTTGCTGACAGCAAAAATGTGCTCCTATCCCAACACTGCACGTTACAGTGACTTGGCACTGAGCAGGAAAATTTTAAAATGTAGAATATTGCAGAGTGACACTTAAGTGATGTATTGAAAGTAAGATAAGGGAAGTCTGATATGTGTGAACTTAAAATGCAAGGGGAGATGGGAAAAAAAATCCTCCGTGGGACAAACTAGGTCTGAGTCACACAAATAATCTTTGCCTTTCAGGATGTGTACCATGAAAACATCATGAGGACAGTGATTTAAGGCACAGAAGTAAATGCGCATGGCTGAGTATTTACTTTATAGCCAGGTTGTAAGTGCCTCCCTGGAGGACTTCATTCTCAGAGTGGCCTTAAAACTTGGAAGCTCACCGATTCTAGACACTGTTTTATGTCGTGCCCCCCCACCCCCGCCCCCGTCTCATTTCAGTGTGCGCTGTGCTGCATGCATCCATCACGAAACCCACTTTCCCTTCCAACCAAGGCGACACTAATTTGGGGAGAAATTTCTAGCTACTTAAGAGTCCTGCCAAACAATCTGCAAATGGGAAGGAGTTTGGTGACTGTGACTGTTATTGGCAACTTCTGAAGGATTAGGTAATAAAGAAGCAGTGAAGAGCAGCCAGCCTGCTGACTCCTGCATTTCATTAGGTCTGCTTCTGCATATGTATTAATAATGGTGTGGCCTGGGAATGCAATTCTGTGTTTTTTTTAACACTTTGGCCACTGGCAATGTTGTACGCCCCTTTCCATGCTTTCTCCTCTGCTGCTCACAGCAATTCAGATAGCAGAAATAGTTCAGATAGCAGTTAACTAGCCTGCATTCTGCAAGTCAGATCTCCATAGCTCATCACTAAAGGGAAATTACCTGGGTAACTACTGAGAGGAGTTTGTTCTTGTCCTTCTTAAGACTGAAAATCCAAGCTTTATTTTCTTTTCTAACCAAAGAAAATGTTAGCATTCCCCGAATATTTTAGACAAAGATTTTTTTTTATCATACTTTTCACTTGTACATTCCCTTGCTCAGTTCAGTCCTTATCTCTGCATGTACACCAAGCATTTGAGGGACATTAGTAATATCTTGCCAATCAAAGGACAGAGCAAAAATGATGCTGAATTACAGACCTCCCAGTGTCTAGACTCCTACTAGCCCACTGTTCATCCAATCCCAGGACTTTTCTCAGTTTCTCGGTCTTTAAAATGGGACCATTTTTATTCACTGGTCCCTCAAATGTCTTGTAGAAGGTGGCACAAGTTGGAATTACAAAAGTCGTCTACAAAATGCCGAGAGCCTCTGTTGGTCTAAAGACCCTGTCTCCTTGACTATCAAACATCTTCATTGTTCCTTGTCAACACTTAAGTCCACAGTTTCTTTGTTGGATATAGGCTTAGATTTTTTTCAAACCCATTAAAAAAAACAAAAGCTAAACCATCACTTGTTTACCCTTAAATAAAGACAGCAGGATTGGGCTTAACACAGCAATCACATGTCCAGCTGCTGAGCCCACAACATAGAAGGAAGATAGGGACAAAGAACCCACAGACGGGTCCCTCCACCTCTTCGGCTAGTAGTTTCCAGTATCAAGACTGCCAGCCCCTGTTCTCGACCCCTGGCTTCTTTACTAGCTGCACTTCTAAACTTACTGAAAGGAAGTCAAAGGGATGTGCTTTTCCTCACGACAAAGCCCTGGCACGCCTCTGGAGGAAGTAGAGAATTGCAACAGCTGCTGTTTTTGTTACAGGCTTTCTGACTTCCTCGCGGGAGTTTAAGACAGTGGCAGCCTGGGGCCCCACCCCCATCCCTTACTCTGGTTTGCAACCCTCGATCGCTGTCCACGGTTCTGAACCTCAACTTTCAGGCTTCTGGAATCCATTAGATTTCTCTGTTTCCCCAAACAACCGCTCCCGCCCCCCGCCCTCCTCTCATATTATCTCTACATTCTTTCTTCCATCCACGACCCCTCCAACTTGGCATTTTATTTCCGTCTGCGTTTTATTCTATTTCGACTGAAGTCCTCCAACCTATACCACCCAGGGACATAGTCCAAGCCCTAAAGGTTATCAAAGTTAAAAAGCCCCCCGCTTCACCCACTCTCTTCCTCCCACTCTGGTCCCGACTCCCGGCAGCGCACATCACTCCACGCGCCAGACTCGTCTCACCTGACTCTCCCGCGGAAACTCGTGGCGCACTATGCTGAGCACTGGGATGTGCAGGACAGAGCTGACCAAATCTAGCTCCATCATCTCGCCCTGGCTCTGGGGGAAGGCCAGCAGCGCCGAAACCCCTTGTACCACTACGGTGTGGCAGACGCTTTGCAGAAAGGAGAAAGGGTCACTGCTCCACGGTGAGCTTGGGGAAGAGAAGGGCATAAGTGGCAGATCGCCCAGGCCCGCCTCGATGGCCATCACTACTTCCAAAGACAGGTTGTAGGGTAGTAGTCCTTCCACACGGTTCAGGTTGTCCACAGCGAACAGGAGGGCATCCCGTGGCCACAGGGTCTCGACCCCGGCGCCCTCCCCGAGCTTCCGGGAGCCAGGCGGACCCCGGCCATGCAGGGCGCTCCCCAACCAGCGTGCGCCTTGCGGGGGCGCCGGTGGCCGCCACGTCCCCGACTCTGGCTCATCCCTCTGGGCACCCGCCCTGCCGCTGTCCTGAGCGCGGTTGGTTGAGCGTGGGGCCGTGGTCCAGGGCTGCAAGTGCACCGCGCCCACCCTCACCGCGTGTCCGATGCGCTTGAGGATCTGGCAGGGTTGCGGGTGCGAGGAGGAGCTGGGCACCCCGGCCAGCACCAGTGCGCAGGGCGGCGGCAGCAGCAGACAGACCCTGCTCAGCAGCCACCACAAACTCAGTCTCCTCATTACTGAGACCCGCAGGGAGAAAGCGCGCCCCCTCCTGCGCCCGGCTCACCCCTCTGCAGCCGCCGCCGGAGGTCTCCGCCGCCTGAGGTCTCCGCCTTCAAGTCCTGTATGTAGCTTCCCTAGACACAGCGAAGCGGTGGCAAGAGCCAGACTGGTCCCTGGGCATTCCAAGTTGCAGCCTAGCGGACGCCCGGCTGTGTCGGATGCGGTTCTCGGGCTTCTCCGCCTAGCATCCTCCTCACGCGCGGCAGGCCGGCGGACCAGCGCGGGTCACCCGCGGCTTGGACTCCGGGTCCCTGCCCACCCCATCTACAGGGCGCCCGGGGCGCAGCGTCTGGCCCCACAATAAGTCTCCGGGTTTACAAGGGGGCGGCAGTGACAGAGGATCCGCGCTCTCACTTGGCTGGCTTCTTTTCTCTTGCTGTTCAGTTCAGGCGACACCCCCCTTATTTACTGGGGTGACGGAGAAGAGGGCGTTCACGCCCGGGGTGCAGGAAAGCAGCAGCCGAACCTGCTTCTTTTCCCCGCCGGCCACACTATCTCGGGCTCCCTCAGCGCCTGCTTCATTTTCTCTTCCCTCTCTACTTCCTCTCTTCCTTTCTCTGCCGGGCTTTTCTCCCAGGCGCCACCTCCGCGGCTTCCTCGGAGGAGCGACACAACTGGCCAGCGAAGGGTGGTTCTGCTCAGAGCGCCAAAGTTCTCCCCGCCTCAACCGGCGCCTCCCTGTAGCCTCAGCCCTGGCGCCAGCCTGTCGCTTGGCTGCGCTAAACGCCCACTGATGGTGAGATTCTCCTGCCGCACAGTCCCGCGCCCCTGCAAAGTCCTCGCCCCTCAAACGCAGCGAGTTGGTAACGGGCACAATTCCCTGTGGCGGATGAGCGCAAAGACTGAGCCCAGGAGAATTTTGAATTCAGAGTCACTCCGGAGAGATCTGAAACCCAAATGAAACCCAGTGGGTCACAGGGACCGGTTTAAAGACACCGATTTTAAGGAGCTTCCCTTGGAGACACCTCTCTAAGGGGTTAAGGGGTTCTTCTTTTTCTTTTTTGGACTCCAGGGTATTAAAGCAAGAATTATTTACACATCTGATTTCGTTCTTTGGCAGAAGAATCTTTGCGTCTTTTAAGGGATCGCTCTCTTTCTCTCTCTCTAAAAATAAAGTGAATTCAAAACAATTGAGGAAATCAAAGTCGGAACCAGAGCCAGGGGTAAAGCCGCTTGCAGCTAAACCTGAGAATTGGAGTTCGATCCCCAGGTTCTACATGGTGGAAGGAGAGAACTGACTCCCGCAAGTTGTTTTCCAACCTGCACATGCCTGCCATGCTCCCCTGCTCACACCCTTCCCGGACATGAAATAAACAATATATATATATATATATATACATACATACATATATATATATATGCTTTCAAATTCTGAAACACATTCACCAGTCATCCCTAGTACAGAACCAGGGTATCCAGGTAGTAGTTTCTTATGAGTTATTTCATTTGTACAGCAATACAGATGCCAATGAGTCTATTATCTAAACTTCCTCTCCGTTGGATAATCTGACATTAGAAGACAGACTTGCAGAGGCTCCCCAAATGGTAAATTGACTTTATTTTACGTTCCAGGGTCATTTACAAAGACAGTAAGAGAGATAACTACATGGCAAACAGCATTGATGATCAACAATTCTGAATCCAATACTACCTCTGAAGAACCATGACCTCGGCAATTTATTTGACCTGCCCTTGCCCAGTTATTTGGGTCTGCTAAATTCTGAAAAAAATACATCAGGTTTTTAGCTATAAAAAGTTTTTTTGGATTCTTGAGCTAAAGCTTCTATCATGCTTTAAATTTTGGGATGATGATATTCTAGAAAAAAATGAAAAAATTTAGGAAACTTGCAATGTGAAGACTGTCCCCCAGCACAAAGTAAGTTTTGCAAGACTTAGTTGCTACAGGAATAAAAGGGCTTTCATAATTGAGAAATAAAATCATAATAGGGGCTCAATCAGAAGAGAAAGGCCCTGCCCCACCTGAGGTCTGTCAACAATCCCCTTTTGTTCCAGAGGACTACAGTGTTGGAGATACAAAGTACATTTTAGAATGTACAGTCCTTGCATGGCAGACAGATGAGGATCTCTTCTGTGCGGTTAGGAGATGTACTTGTCTGTGTTGGAGTATGGGTACCCTGATGAGTCTGGCCCTTTATGACTGTGGCTCAGAGCAGCAATCCTTAGGAAATGGCATTGGCAGGCTGTACAGATGGAGTTCCTACGAGAGTCGGTGTGGATGGAGGTTAGCCTGGCCTGACTGTGAGATTTATGGTGGATTCCCTTCTGGCAGCAGACCACTCACACAAGTTCACCATGACCTTGAGAGGTTGGCTGACCTGGTTATTCAGAGAAGAACAGATGATCAGCAAATTTCTGAGGTTAGTACCTAGGCAGCTCCTGAAGGAGCCGCGATGGAAGCTCGTGAATACTGAGCAAAGGGGAAGAAGTGCGCTTCATTCTGCGTTTCCTTTTGTGTGTTTCCAGGTCCTTCCAGTTATGAGTCACTCGTGTGTGTGTGTGTGTGTGTGTGTGTGTGTGTGTGTGTGTGTGTGCGGGTAGAGTCCAGACGTCACCCTCTGGCTTTGTCCCTCAGGAACAGTCTAGTTTGTCTTTTAAAACAGCCTCTCACTGAGATCTGGAACTCAATGAATAGGCTAGGTTGATGTCCACTGAGAGTCCCCATATTCACCCGTCTCTCTTTCCTAGCATTGGTATTAAAGGTGTAAGCCACCATTCGGTGCCTGATATTTTTTTCTTTTTAGTTGGTTTAACTCAAATCCTTAGGCTTAGTCACAAGAATGTTGCTGATGAGCTTTTTCCCCAGGCTCTGGGCTAGTCTTTTTCTCTGTCTTCCTTTTGCCACCTGGTTCTCTCCTCTTGTCACTGCAAAGTACCCCTGACATTATTCTCTCTTTTCTTATCTCTTTCCTTTCTTTTCCTTCTTCTTCTCGCTCTTTTTTTTTTATACCTAAAGGATCATCATTGTCGAAACTCTTTCATCACGCAGACTTGACCATAAGGCCATCATGGGATTAGATGATTAAACCTCAGTTAGGATACATGAATTCTTCTCTCCCTTCTCAAACTAAGATAGTTAATTTTTCAACAAAGTGCTAGTATGGAGTTTCTGAGCTAGTGGGAGAGACAGAAAATAAAGCACACAATTAATTACACGTAGGGCATGTTATTTAGTGTTCAGGAGATTAAAAAAAACACCAAAGGAATAAAAATGAAGTGTTGGGATGTGGGTGAGTTGATTTTAGACAGGAACCCAGTGGAAAACCCTACAAAAATAACTTTTCAATAAAGAGATAGAGAGAGGTAAGGGGGTGTTTTGCGCGGATGTATGTGGCAAGAATTCACAAGTGGAGGAAACAGCCATGGAAAGGGTTCTTAGGCAACAATGTTTCTGGAGTATTTGAATTAAGAGTGATGTGCCCCAAGTGGCCAGAGCGAAATGACTCACATCAGCCATAGTGGTGGGCGGTAGGAGCAGAAAGGCTACAAGGAGGTGGTGGAGAACAGCAACCAGCAAGGAACTTTGGCTTCAGAGGTGTGAAGTCAAGAAACTGAGCCAAAGAGTGGCAGGACTAACTTTTGTTTTCTTTTGAGATATCATCTTCTTCTATAGCCTCAAATTAAGTCAATCCTCTTGCCTTACCTCCCAATCTCAGAGCTGGGATGACAATCACTTGACTCAATGATGACCAGGACTAATGTAACAGAATTCTCCTAGATGCTCTTTTTGTAGTGTATGGAAGGTTGGCAAGAGTAGAAACCAGGATCTCAGATACGAGGCAGTTGCAGTGATGCACCTGAGAAACAACCATTTTGCTAAGTCTAACAATCTTATCTGACTAATACAATCATTCCCCTTATAACATCAGGGAATTAACTTTAGAAAATCCTGAGTTATTGACAAAGTTATCACTCTGTGAGAGGCAGTGTAGCTTCGGTGTTGGAGGTTCTTCTCAGCTGCGGGGTTGGTAGCAAGTCAGATTTCAAATCTGGCTCACCCAGAGAAGACAGAGCTTTGTTTATTATCTTATTCAGAACGAGAACTGTTGATCTAAGAACCCATGTCAGAAATCAAACAAAACAAATCCAAATACTCAGTTTAAAATGTGTTCTGTGCACATCTGTGCTCTCTCGTGCCAGTAATGGCTGTACTGAGAGCTACAACGTTCTGGATGTAGCTCAGGAAAGGTCCCAGTGAAGGATGCTGTGGAGATTTGGTATTGGATCTCTTCTCTGCAGTATTTCCCTATGGGTATGACATTTAGTCTCCCAAAGCTGGAGTTTCCTCCTCTTTACGATGGTTGTGGTGACAGCTCTTGACAGTTGTCTGTGTAGAAACAGCAGCACACAAATTCCTGCAAGCCTAAAGGTCCGTGGAAATGGGAGGTATATTGGCACATTATAATGATTTGTCAAACTATTCTTTCCTCACCCCTGATGCACTGAAAAATTTCAAGGTGTCTCTTCTACACATAGTTTTGGTTGCGATGGCATTGTTTTAAAGAAATGGCATTTATCTTAAGTGATGCTCCTCCAATTATAGGTCTGCCTTTGAGAAAATACTGACTTGCAGGCTTCTTTTTAGTGGAACAGGAGTAGTTGAATAATAGTAATGAGACTGGACTATCTGGAGCCGATTGACCAAGGCGGAGAGGGCTATGGCAAGTCAGAGCTGTCAGGCAATGAGGACATGGACGAGAGTGAAGCTCATAGGAATCTTGGTTTCTCTTGTAGCTAGGTTGAGAAGAAAGCGCAGAGGCCAGATCAGATGGGGCAGTTACATGTGAGAGAGGGAACGCTCTTGCTGCCTCGTTCATGCTAAGGAATGGGGAATCAAATGAGAAATACTGCGCAAGCCATCATACGGTGAGGGTGAGAGGTAGCATGGCTTCAACATCCTAAGCTTATCCTGGCTGTATCATAGCTAAAAAGAACAA